TTCGTTTTCCTCCGAACACATCAATGGCTAATAACTTGGAACGCCGTTCTGGACCATTCCGCCCCGATTTACATCTGATTTTGCTGTTGCCCTTTCAGGAATGTCAACTTATAGGAACACGAGGGACACATTTGAAAAAGTAAAATTTCAGCGCACAGTAAAGTGATGCGAGCCTCAAAGGCCCTTCTACTGGGGGGTTATGTGCGCATGCTCCCCCCCAAATGTTTTATTCAATGAAGCAATATCTGGTGCATTTCTTGGATTGATATGATGGTGAACTTGATCTGCATCCAGCTGGTCAACCAGCCATAATCGTTATAGAAACTGCTAATTTGACCAAAACGTGAGATTTTTTTTTTTTTTACTTAATGCATGTGAGTGTGAGAAAAGGCCTAGATGCGGGAGTCTCACGTTCAATGGGTGAGGTTACCAGTCCCGCCCTTATAACGCACCAACGGAACATAATTTTATGTGTGCGTTAAACGAGACACGAATAGTGGTTGTTTTTAGAGCCAAGTTACTAAATAGGCTACCTGCACTCTATCCACTGTGGAGAATCGAACACCGGATTTTAGCGTTTTAAGTCCGTAAACTTACCCATAGCACACAAGGGGACGAGACGCGAATGATAACCTCAGAGATCCATAAACCCACACGCTAATCATTAGGATATGCTCGGCCCGATCTTCCTAATTTTTTTTTATTACAGATCTTGAGCGAACATTTTACGTTTACAGTTGTTTAAACATTTGTTTAACAACAAGTAAAAGTTTGGAATGGTCTATTCTTTCATTGGGGGTGTGTCTGTTTAAACAACTCTGTATCAGCTGCCTAGTGTCGGCTAAAAATATGAAGAATTAAATTGTGGCGGAATGCTACAAGTTCTTCAAATACCTATAGAATGATAGGTTTCATTTTTATGAGTGTAAAACAATTAAAAACCCCAATTCGACTATTTAGAACTGTTCCGTTGAATAACAGTGCAGTTCGGTTAACGTTGGTCTTATAGTCAACACTATTTGAAAGTGTGGAAATTTACAAAACTGAGTTTGAACTGAAAAGAAGGGCTGGAGGTAAGGGGAGTAAATTGCATTTAAGC